TACTGCCCTAAAATGGTGGTATCGGCGAGTACCAACAAATAGGGCACCGATACCATTTTGGGAGCCATAAGTTTATTCAACTATTGTCACCCATTTCTGGTAGGCAATAAAAACATTTTATTTTTATTATCCAGTAGAACTTTTTAATAAAAAGTTCTACTGGATTCATTTTGTATTAGATTTGTTTCCTTCTTCACAAAGGTAGGCAGCAGCTTGACAAAGCCATGATGGCAATTATTTTACATTATTATGGTATCGGTATCGGCCAATACTGCACAGCCAGGTATCGGGTATGGGTATCGGGGCCAAAAAATGGCATCGGCGCAACACTAATTCTTACACACCCCCCGTTCCCTAAGGTCAGCTGATCAGTTGCTTCTGAGGGTCCCAAAGACAAAATACAAGCTCAGAGGGGACCGTGCTTTTTCTGTTGCAGCTCCTAAGCTGTTGAATGATCTGCCTCTGAGCATAAGACAGGCCTCTTCCCTTACTGTTTTTAAGTCCCTTCTTAAGACTCATCTTTTTTCCTTGGCTTTTGGCACAATTTGAGAGGTTTTACTTTGTTTTATTCTCTTTGTGTACTAATTTGTATTTTACACTCGTTTTTTTTTCCTATTTTATAATTTTATTGTATTTTATGATTGTGTACAGCACTTTGGTCCTGTCCGGTGCATAAAGTGCTTCATAAATAAAGTTGTTATGGTATGGTATGGTACTTAACCCTTTAGTTACAGTAAGTAACCGTTTGTTTTTGATCACTTGCATAAGCCTTACAAATGGAATCCCCCTCGTCCTTCAGTGAGGTCTAGAAGGACAAGATCCATATCCAGCCATTCAGCACAGATGCTGCTACTGGCTGTACATCTTATCTTGGCCTTTGACCAATTAGATCAGCCCATGAATGATATATGACCTACTTTATATTAAGTTGGGAAAAACAAGTTAACAAGTCAAGAAAAAAAAAAAGGTAAAAAGCTAATTGAAAAGTTAAACAGTTAATAACCCTAGTAAACAATTATATTTAGTTTTACAAACTAAACAATGTAAGTACCAGTATCAACATTAATGCCTCTAGGGTTATGTTGTACCCAAAAAAAATGTTTGTTTTTTTTTACTCTCAGATTGTTTCTCATGAATTTCTTATAGAAGCACTTTTGTTATTTTTCTTAATATATTCAGGCAAGTTGGCGTTTCTTGTTATTACATTGACATATACAATTTTTTTTTATTCTGCAAAGGTAATAAGGTCTTGTCCTGAATTCCAATAACACTATGGCTTAATATTTTTGATTTTCAAAGTATTTCCCTGAGTGCCCTATAAAGGGTTAACATGTAACTTGGTGTAGGGACTTAATTTACTTCCACTTCTTTTTCAAAACGAAAAATTATACCGTTCTTAATTAAGAGACTTTCTAGTCTAATCTAAGTAACAAAACTACCAAGTTGGGATTTAGTATCTGTGTTTTCTCTAAATATTATATCTCAATATAATACTACAGAGTTTCAAGAGGCACCAGTTTCTGATTCTAATTTAGGTTCAATACGGATTATTTAAAGCAGTGTCTAAATATCAATTCTGTTTTTGTCTTGAATATAAATAAAATGACTTTTATTATGTTGTTAAACCTTTAAACCCTTTAAAAATCTTGACTTAAAAACTAAGAAGGTTTAAAATTTAAAAAGTGGAAAAGTTCTCCTTCAGGGTTCTATATCATGCCTTTTAAGCCCCCCAAAAAAATCTTCTACAGTCATATTCTTGATAGAATATATTCTTTGGCCGGATGGTTTATTTATTGTTAGGAAATATTAGTTGTTTTCTAGAGCCATTTTTGCATTACGCCTTCCAATGCAAAATCCTGTTAATGATGTCAGCGTGTGCTCCTGCAGGGGAGGATTGTTTCTCTTTGGGACAAATCAGAATCGCTGCCTGGTCAGCTGCTGACAAGCCTCTAGGATTGATTGACAGGTGGCGTCACAGCAACTGACACAACAACTGCAAGATCGCTGAATAAGCGAAGCTGACGAAGGCAGGATAGTTTTACCAGCGCCACCATCAAGCACAATGTTACCCGAGGCATTTTGCCTAATTAGCAAACCTCTGTAAAAACAAAAGGCAGCATTTTCTGCATCGAATGAGTAAAAATATTTCACAGCAGCAAAGGACAAATCAATGTTAAAGCCTACGCTTTCCATAGACACAAGAACAAGCATAATGGCCAGTCAGCTGGCAGGGAGTGAATAGAGTACATGAGATCTGAAGCAGGTTTTAATTCATATATAATCAAAGCCAATGCCAGCAAGTTGCCTTGGATTTATTACACCTTGTGTTCTTAATCAAACAATGCAAACTTTTTCTAAGCTACATATAAATAAGAAAAGTAATTATGACAAAGACGAACCACAAGTAGCTCCTGTCGGTTCCTGCTGTGTTTAGTATGTGTTTTAGTCTGCACTCCTATTCATCCTTAACATTTTTAAGACTACCTTTCGGTTTTGGAAACAAAATAAACTCTGTTCCGCCTTTTAATTACTTTGAGTTAAGCATTTAGCCTTTATTAGACGCCCGTTGAACAAAACTCCGTGTTCGCTTCGCCTTCCTAATACAGAACCCTCCTGATGTTTGCTTTAAGGTTATCGCTCTTCGATTAATTAGTGACAGTTTTTTTTTTTATTTTAATGTCTGTCACTCCAATCAAAGTTTATTTTTTTCTGTTTTTACTTTTCTAAAGAAAACATATCAAAAATATGTCAAGGGCTAAAATGTAATATTCATCAGGAATGGATATTATGGGGCCCTGTACAAAAACTGATCACCTAGCTGAAAGTGTCAATTGTTTATTAATCAAAATAACCAAAGGCTTTTTTTCTTTTTCTGTTTTACGCATCAGAATTCTGAAATCTCAAACATTTATTTACTGAATTTCTTCGTATTTAATATAATAATATTGAAAAATCATTATTTTACTGAAATTCTACACAAAATAGCGGGATATATGCTTCAGTGGGTAAATAAAATAATTTCTTTCAACATATACTCCACATATTCTCTACATTTAAAACATTTGAGGGAACTAATGAGTCCAAATTCTTTATAGACTGCCGATGAAAAAAAATATTTACTAATTTTTGACTGTACCATATTTTTTTATTATATTGCTGCATGATTTGACCCCACAGGTTCCTGAGATGCAGAAGAACATTTTGTTTCCACTAGAGGGCAGCAGCAGCAAAGAAAAAGCTGTTTCAGCGTGATTTGTCACATGGCTATTTTATTACAGGAAATGACACATGATGCAGAGAACAGCTGCAGCTAGTGGGAAAAATCATACACATCAGAGCCACTTAGAAAAGCCATGGATGAATATCTGAACTCTATGCCACTGGAGCTTTGCTTTTCTCTCAGGAAAAAAAATTACAAGATGGTTTAGAAATGTCCATAAGACTGTGAGAGTCAAACAAGCCCATCTATAAACTATGAATTCATGTAAATATTTTAAATGAAGAGTTTTAAGAAAGATCCTGATCAGTCTGTTGTTTTCAGAGAAACTCAGGCATGATGTGAGGGAGAACTGCTGCTAAAGTAAAACCTGCTTAAATCGTAATCCCTGTGATTCCAGGGCCATATGGACCCCCTGGAGTCCCCCCCCCCCACCATTATAACAATCTCCTGGTATTCAGTCAGCTCCAGGCTTGGTGTGTGCTGAGGAATCAGTGAGTTCACCGCTCTGTTTTGAGGCAGATTTATGAGATTATCTCAGCAGACCAACATAAAAGAGCGAATTTGTAGAGAACCTGGATCGCCTGATTACAGCTAACTTCATGTAGTTTAATTCCCCCGCCTACATTTCCTTGAAGCAGCTGTCCCAGGTTTGTTAAACTGTCCAACTGAAAATAAAAAGAGAGTGGCGAGTCTGACCTCATCATAGAACTCTGGGCTCTGGTTGTGGTGCAGGACGGCTGCATAGGCGCTGCTAGTGAAGAGGGAGTCTCCCGGCTTGCCGTAGATGCACTGAAAAGGAAGCAAAACACATGATATAAAGATATAGCCTTAAGAGCTCTGTAGACTTTATGACATGAAGAAAAAGTACAGGACAAAAAACAAGGAATTCATAAGTGGTCCATCTCATAGAGAAAATGTTCTACATAGGCTGTAAAGCTTCTTAATAGTCCCATGCACTGCTTATCCTTTCAAGAGTTTGTTTGATATATTTTCAAAAGAAATGGAGCTCCTTGCAACTATACATGGCACATTTCAAATGTCAGTCTCCCTTCACTGGCATTCTCTGTGCTACACTGACATAAAGTAGAATATAACTGTGAAGTAATTGTCTAAACGTTATTAAGCTTCCCAGAGTCAGTACGTTGTAGACTGATTGTACAACGTTCAAGAAGATTTGCACAATCAGAAACCTCTTTTTACCAAATCCCTGTGTCACAAAGCTCAGCCTCAGGAAGACTGGATGGAGAGAGTTTGACCGGCTCAGTCTAAAGGAATGCTTTGATCGAAACCACGGTTCCCACCTCCCCAATGTGCATCTGCTTCATCAAACCTTAATTCAAATTAATTAGGAACCTTTAAAACCAGATTCCAGGCCAAGGTGAAGATACTAGGATTGCAAATAAGAAATCTACTAAAAGCTAAAAGCTGTTTTGTTCCTATTTGAATGTTAAATTATCTAATTATGTCAGAAAAGAAGAAACTACAAAGAAGACAAATACTTTTTACAACATCTTTTATCCGGCTGTTTGAGTCAGGTGAGCGGGTCTAAAGTTTTCTTGGACACCAGACCCAGATTCCTGACCTAAACCAGTTAATCATTTATGGTTGATTCTGCTGCAAGTTGAACCTTTTCCATAGTTTCAAGCTTTACGCTCTGTGTTTTGTAATATTCATGTTTCCTTCTATGCAGACCCTCCCTGCCACCTATAAAGAAAAGCATCCCCACAGGACAATGCTGTCTCTACCTTGTGTTAGAGTAGGGATGGCATGTTCAGGTTAATATATGGTGCTAGGATTTCTTAACATGAAGAATGTTGCATATCATGTAAGCTCAATTTCGAAACAGCTTCTTTTCCATGTTTTTCTATTTCTCATTTTTTTTAATCACCAATTCTTCTCCTGCTATTTTCCATAAAGCAAAAATTACTGGAGTAAATGGGTTATAGCAAGTGTCCCATATCTAAGCAACTATTCTGCAGCTTTTTGTCTTATTTAACACTCCTTTCCTGAGAGGTCAAGCAGACAAACCCGCTTTGGACGGCTTAAAGTCTCTTTTTGGAGAATGATTTATCAGTTCTTTTTTATTTGTAAAAAGGTGCTGAAATGCTTTTGCAAAATATAATTACATTTTTAAATTACTTTTAATGGATTTGTCTGTCTTACAGATGTTTTCAGCGCACATGGTGAGAATTTTGACTTCTCAAAACCTGTAAATCTTTATCCTTAAGCTTAAAATAAATGAATGCTTAATTACAACAGCTTCAGCGCATTTAGTCAGAATACAACATTTTTTGAAACTTATATTTAAAAAGCAAACCTTTTTTAAACTAAAGTGAAGTATATCATTTTTGAAAGTCACTTGGTGGCAATGGATAATAAAAAAAAAAACTGTACCCGTCAGGTTTTGAGTTTTCACTTTTTCACAGTTAAACTAAATCAAACTGATCCAAGCAGAACATAAGCCTTTATCAGCAGGAGATTTATGAGGGGGAAAAAAGCCGTCATGCCTAAAGGATCAAGCAGCTTCTGGTAGGAACATTTCTAAATGAGGAGAGATGAACAAGAACACCACAACACCCTGTTGGGTTGATTCCTTAATTAGGACGCTAACAGAAGCTGTCATCTGAGATGAATGATAACGAGGAGTTCTGGCAAACAATCTATTACAGGCATGGCTGTAGTGAACCAAATGAGTTTAGCTGCTTTCTGGAAGGTTAAATCCCAGCCGGTTAGAGGTAGATGGAGAGTGGTGGGATGGAAGAGGAATTCTATCAAAGACCGGCTGATTTTTCTTTTTGATTTCAGAAACATTATGCTGTTGAGAGTTATTTGCTGGTATACACATGAGCAGGCCCTCACACCCTGCAGTGGGCAGGCTGATGGCGGCCATGATTACCTGACTCAGGATGGGGGCGGAGGTGCGGCTGCAGGAGTTGCAGGAGATCGTATCACTCACACACGCTGTCCTGTTAGAGCTTGCACTCTACGGCACAGGACCCAACACCAAAAAAATGAGAAATTCCCACACGTCTTTCAGGTAGCAGCAAACCTCCTCCTCTAGGCGATGTTGGAGTTTAACACAAACTCAGATCTTTCCAAATCTTCTGAAGGTCCTGATTGCATCTCCTTGCAGGTGTGCTGCCGGCTCCAGCTGTTTGTCCTTAACTTTTTTTTCCCACTCACTGAATTTCCAAGCAACGCCCTAAGCGGCAGTCTGATATGAGGGGTGTATTTTAGCTAGGACATGACACACCTGACTGATTTTCTTCCCATCTGACTGAGCTTAAACAAAAACATCAAACATGAATGTTTTGGCGGTCGGTTCAGTCCAAGTATTCATTCCAAAAATCTAGGGAATCCACTGGTTAAAAAAAAGATGTGTCCATTCGTAGCCCAGTTATAAGAACAAGGTTGAGGTTTGTTCCTAACAACATCTCAGATCTTGTCCTTGAGAAACTCAAAAAAACTTCTCTACTGACAGCTAAGCTCTTTTTTCAAGAGCAAAATGATCCAATTTTTATACCTCATTTATCCCTCAGGTGATCTCAAAGTAAAGCTCATCGATTGGACCTTAATCACACTTTCCGCAACCATTAACTAGTCTCACTAGTGTCATATTCAGAATTCCATTTTCTGAAAGTACTTTAACATGAAATTATTACATACTGTCAATAAATGATAAGTGTTTTTAAATAAGAGTAATTTTCGTTTGACTGTGCTTTACTGGAGATATCCATGTTTGTGAAAAAACCTACTGGTTTGTGACGTCACGGTGCAGTATCGGCTGTTGAGCAAGTCCCAGTGCTGTATCTGGTGTTTGTAAAAATGCCCTATTTTCCACATTATCTTCAAAACATTCTTCTTCGAAATGTTGGCTACATATTGCATGTTTTTTCTTTGGCCAGAAGTTCGATGGCAAATCCTCCCTCTTCAAGTTGGCAACCCGTCCGTGGTGGATCATGAATCGAAAAGGTGAAATAACAAAGCTTTTTTTCACTTTTACCCGATGTATTACAACATCCAACTGCCATGCACGTGGGCATTGTCAGTATAGCTCTGGTGAATTTCAATGGTGAAGTCCTCTGGAAATCTTCAGTAATTGTTGCCGATTGCAGATGTGTCTAGTAGTTCCCATTGATTTTGCTTGTAAAGCGAGGAGAATGGCGCTAGGCTTACCGCACCGTGATGTCACTACCAGAGGATGTCAGGAGTGAGGTGTTACTATATTTGGGCAAAAATAGCCGCTCCTGGACTCAGTCATCACGACAAAAATTATAGTTTTTATTTTTCTTACTGATAAATTTGTTAAATCACAGCGAACGTATTAGTTTTAGGTATATTGAATGATCCCTTGATTATTCCTTGCTGACCGGAATTTTCCTTTAATAGAAAAAGTGAATTAGCTGCCATAGGCATGGTTCAAAATTTTTTTTTTATGTGATGTTTAATGTTAGTCTGTTTTTTTTTTTTTACATTCCTAATCCAGTCTTGGTGTTCAGGATCACTTTCAGTATTCTACCCACTATCAGAATGTGGCAAAACAGCCACCACAGCATGATGCAGCCACCACAATGTTTGAGAATGTGACACGTTGATTCTTATTTTAGAAATCACAGACAAAAAATATTTTTAATGACAAGGGTTTTTTGATTTGTCTAATTTCAAGCACGGTTTTGTCCTGAGCTCCATTGCTATCGAACCGAAGTATAAGTGCAGGTCTAACATTCTTATGTTCTGTGCTTCCATAATCTCATTAACCTTCTGCATCTTTAGCATGGCCATAACTATTCATCCAACAGGATCAATAATATTCCATTAGCATGCAAAGTAAGATGACAGAGCAACTTCTTAACATTTCGTCGCCATATTAATAATGTTCTGCAAAATGAATAAAATACTTACAGTATATTCTGAATGCTTTCTTTTAAGGGATAAACTTTAAAGCGCCATATCTACTCAGCAGGCAGGTCAAAGTTAACTAGTTTAGGTGACTTGAGAAAATAAATATTTCTAATAATTTCAGACTCATGCTTTCTGTGATCAGTTTCCAGTCACCAACTAAACTGAATTGCATGTTTAAAAAAGGAAACAAAAAAATCAGGAAACCTTGTTTCTCAGTGATAACCACTTGTCTTGCTTTAAATCTACAGTATCTCCAGGCTAAAGCCTGCTTTTTACTGACAGACCAACAGAAAGCTCTCAACTCTCTTAATAAGCTCTTTGCATTAGATTTGATGTCCTTAAAACCCAAGTTATATTTTTTGTGATAGCAAACAATAAATATTTAACTTCACCAACATTAAAACATTGTGATACTTAAATGAAGCAGTTATATTTATTGATTAGGGGGTGGAACGGTTCACAAAATCTACGGTTCGGATCACGGTTTCGTGGTCACCCGGCTACGCTGCTTCGCTTCTTCTTCTTGTTTACTACTGGTGGTTGGCTTTGGTCGCAGTACCGCCACCTTCTGCTCTGGAGTGTACACGCTTCGCCTATGAGAAAAAGGAGCAGCGCATGAACCGAACGAAAAACATGCGAACCGAACCAAGACAGTCGAACTGAACGGTTCGGACAGTTTTCATAAACCGTTCCATCCCTATTATTGATATGTTTTAGCATAAAGACCTTTTTATAGTACCCTCTGTATCAAAGAACAGTTTAGAGCTCCAAACATAACCATTTTTATGGCATGGATGTGTGGTGGGGACCGCCGGAAGAAAGGGGTCGCGGTTAGAATTTCGGGACTCCCCACTGGCATCTTTGGGGCCCTGGCCTCAGTTGGCACC